ATGGGACCTAACTGGGAAGGGCCTTACAAAGTAACATCAATCGGGGGCGCCGGGTCGTATGGACTAGAAGATATGAGTGGAAGACCTGTAATACGACCATGGAATGTTATGAATTTGAAGAAGTATTACTTTTAAAGTACTCTCTCTCAAGAACTCGCCAAACGAAAGACAAAGGGTATGGCCCTGGGGACAGAGTTCAAGGACTCTCGTCCCCGAAGTACATACAGGAGCAAGCCTCCTGCAAGGGTATGGCCCTGGGGACAGAGTTCAAGGACTCTCGTCCCCGAAGTACATACAGGAGCAAGCCTCCTGCAAGGGTATGGCCCTGGGGACAGAGTTCAAGGACTCTCGTCCCCGAAGTACATACAGGAGCAAGCCTCCTGCAAGGGTATGGCCCTGGGGACAGAGTTCAAGGACTCTCGTCCCCGAAGTACATACAGGAGCAAGCCTCCTGCAACGGTATGGCCCTGGGGACAGAGTGCAAGGACTACTGTCCCCGAGGCAAAAAAAAAAAAAAAAAAAAAAAAAAACTGGAAGCAAGCATTCATAAAGAAATGGTCCTGAGGACAAAACACAAGCACCCCAAGTCCCCAGAGTAGATACAAGATCTCGCCTCCAGAACGGGCCAGCACGCCCCGAAGACAGTTCAAAGACACTTATGATTTATTCTACACAGAAGTAAAGAAAAGCAGAACACTACTGTATACAGAAGAAGACAGAAAAATGAAAAGACTAGTTATTCATTTCCAAAAGAAATAGGGGCTTTGCGTCCCCAAAAGCTACAAAAGGAAAGCAAAAGGGGTACAAAAAAGGGGAAATGAAAAGCAGCTTCATCGGGCTCCAGGCACCTCCAGAACTTCGGCCGAGGGCGAATCAGCAATAAAAGGTTGGGAAGCTTCTGGAGCGGGCAGGAGAAGAACTTCGTCAGCAGGAACAGCTGGAACAGTTTGAGCAGCTTGAGGTTCAGGGGCAAGGTCGGACGGAGCGTCCTCGGACAAGTCCACTATCACCGTCTCGGGAGCATCAGCCGAGGTTTGCATCGGTGTAGGGGCTTCATCCTCGGCAGCAACCTGTGCTTCTGCCTGCTCCATCTCTGCCGAGGGCACATACTTGTGCACTTGGAAGAGAGGGGAGTCTGACGGGACTCCAGCAGCCTGGAGCGCCTCGTCCCACCCTTTCTTGAAGAACTCTTTGCTGTTTTCTTCAAGAGCGGGGAGCACGTCATCGGCAAACTCCTCCAGAAGTTGTTGCTCCGACTTCCGGGTCAGCTCCTCGGCTCTGATCCTATCTAGCTCCTGGGTAAGGGCCAGGCAGCTTTCCTCGGAGCCCACTGCCCTCTCCTCCGCCGCAGAGAGCCGCTGCGTTTGCTCAGTAATCCTCCTCTCAGCATCGGCAAGTGCGGCACTTAGCTTCTCAGCGCCCGACTTGGCCGATTCAGCGTCCTTGAGGAGTTGCTCTATCTGGGCAGCCTGCCCCACCAGGGTGGAATCCCTGGCAGCAACATCTTCCGTTGCCCGAGCAAGGGCAGCTTCCGCTTCTGCCTTCTGATCCTTGGCCCTCTGAAGATCCATCCTGGACGCGTAGTACCGGCCAGCAATGATAGAAATCTGCTGGGTAGCCTGTAAAGGAAGGAAAAGAGTGTTAAAAACACAAAAATAGAAAACGAGAGTGAAGAGATCAAAACAGGAATAAACTCACCACCAGGGAATTCTGGATCATGGAGCGGAACAACACGTTGGTTGATCGCCCCCTATGAGCCTCCATGTCGGCCTCGAAATGCAGTGTCTCACTCACTGCATTAGCGACATGAGGATCCGACAGAATAGAATCATCGACCCTGATCACTCTGTTCATGTGATCAGTGGCTCGAGGATTCCACTCTGCGGCCTCCCCCCGAGGCGGAACGGGAGGGGGGGTCTGCTGTTGCTGTTGCTGTTGTTGCTGCTGCAGCTGTAGCTGTTGTCGGGGCTGCTGTTGTTGTTGCTGTTGTGGGGGAGCAGGCGGTAACCCACGATCCCTCCCGCTTTGAGGTTGAGCGGGAGATGCCCTGGGTCCTCGGCTGAGGCCGTCATGCCGATGCTTTACCCTCCTCTCTTCTTCCACCTGAGGATCCCGGTCTCGCACCTGACCCTGACCGGGAGCCCTCGAAGAATTGGCGGAACTGGTTCCTGCCGGAGTACCGCCGGTCGCCCCTCGGCCTCTCCCGGCTGCGAGGGATTGCCTCTGCCTAAGAAACCCCAAATTGATGCGTGGGGTGTTGGACATCGCTTCCTCGAGAGCGTCTTCGGCGTCCAAAGTTTGGAGAATTTGAAAATCCGGCCACAGGTCGCCTCCCGAAGTCCCCACCTCGGCGTCCGAAGGAGCAACGTCCTCTCTGGCCCCGACCTCAGCAACTCCTTCTACCTCTCCCTCTGAAGCCCGATCCGGGTCTTCCTCCAAGTTCTGCTCGACCTCTAACCTCGCCGCCTGATCAAAGAGCTCTGACCACTGTGAAGGCTCGAAAGGTTGAGGGAGCTGTGAGAACTTCTTATACCCGGGGGTATAGTGCAGCAAATTATGGGCAGCTCGGCCAAATCCGTCGGCGCCCGTGAAACTCCAAACCGTTATTAAGTCGGCAAAATTGACCAGCGACCGAGGGGGTGGAGCTGTTTCCCGAGAAGGAATACCTGCACAACAAAAAAGATTGTCATAAACATGAGAAGTCCCAAGAAACAAATAAAAAGACCCAAAGGAACCGACGTACTTGTCGTTCTCCATTCCCGAGGGCAAAATAGGTCATTGTACTCGGGACCGACACCCCTCTCCCAACATCCCTTGAAGATCAAGATGTCGTCCTTGTACCCCTTGTCCGAGTCAGGAAGATGGGTTACAAGGTACATAGAGGGGTCCCTGGCTTTGAGGTAGAAATGTTGGTGGGGCATGACTCTTAGGAGGGAGTAACAGAAAAGGAGATCGTTGAGCCCAATATTCACCCCGAGGCGCCTATTGAGCTCTAGGACCCCCATAATTATCCGAAAGACGTTGAGGCAGCATTGCCCGGGGAAGAGACGGAAGCGAAACAGGAACTGAAGAAGCAGGGGGGGTAAAGGAAACCTAATGCCACCCTCTATGATGGCCTTGGTATAGAAAGGCATGGCATCCGCGGCCCCGAAGGTAGGAGAGTTCAACAAAGGGTTAAAGCCCACTACGTCCACGCTCGGGGGGATGCCATACTTCGCCCTGAACCTATCGATCTGCGCCTCGCCTGTCACCTTGTATTTCCCTGACCCCGAGGGACCAGCCGATGGATTCTCGGGAACAGGGCGACGACGAGGCATCTCTAAAAAGAAAGGGGAGGAAAAGGTGTTCTCTCTTGAAAACCTGAGGAAGTTCCCCGAGGGTTTAAATCAAGACGTACCGACCGGATGACACCACCGTTCAAATCGGAAAACAAGAAGGCCAGGAGGACGATAAAGAAGAAGGTTGTGAAACTCACCAGAAGACGTCGGAAACGGAGTTTTTCAGGAAAAACTTTGAAAACGACTCGCACCGGAAGGACCAGGAGTCAACAATGGGTTTACTGACTGTGATTTTAAGAGAAGATGCTGTCGATGATGGCTGAGGAAACAGAAACTCCGGCGAAGCAGATCAGAAAAGGCGTATTCTGGGTCAAAGATCGGAATGGCAAAACAATGGAAACCGGAGAAGAACCCCCTTTATATAGGGGGGAAACTGTCATCATTGGGCGGGAGAACCAAAACGGCGCATTTAATGCGCACGACATCCCAAGACGGGGAAAGCTGCTCGAGGCCATAATGAAGGACGGATGGCAGTTGGAAAACCCTTCGTCTCCTGACAACGTGTGTCCTCGGCGTCAGAAGATCGAAGGATGGGGGGCAGTTGATGGGACTCTTCTGAAAAGCCTATGATGAAGACACGTGTCCTCGGGGGTTTCTAGAACAATGTTGCTCGGGTTCAAGCACCATCGGCAAAAGCGTCCTCTCCCCCGAGGTACCTCTCATATAGGATCACATATTCGGTACATTATACAATGACATGTGTCCTCGGTCACCATGTACCTCGGGAACACACCACCCCTTGGTCCCCCGAGGAGAGCCTTTCCTCGGCGCCGAGGGTCACTCCATCCTGGACGCTTCCTCTACTCCCGGATAAAGTTACTGACGTACGGGACATCAGCCTATGCCAGTCTAGACTATTCATCATGACCTCGTCTTACACAAGTAATGTCAGAACATGCTGGAATACAGAAGTCATAGCCAATACGTGACGGACGCGTGGCATATGATATCACATCAAAAACAGGCAAACCGCACGCTATTGCTGACATGCGCTTTGGGAAGCAAACAATTAATTGCACCCTTCTGTTGACGAGACCGCATTCAATGCGGTAAGGTTCGGATATGAAAGGCAATAAATGCTCCTATTACGGAGCATTTATTACATCCTTCCCGAAAGGAGCATATTGTACCGTCGGCGTCCCGACGACTCAACATTGATTGCTCGGGACCCCGAGCAGTCAATTAGAGAGGACATTCCTCGTCAAATCAATACACACGCTACCAGTGCCTGATGATCACCTACTGACCACACTGACAGCAATCATGAGCTTCTAAGGTATAAATACCCCTCCCAAAAAGGCAAACGGGTATGAAATCTAAAACTCTCTACTACGAAATATCCTCCTCAGTGTTTTCTCCTTCCTCTCTCTCATTCAAAGACTGACTAGACCGTCGGAGGGGATACGCCGGAAAACACTCCGGCGCCCTTCTAACTTGTTCTCTTTTGTCCCAGGAAATACCTTTCGCACGTACAGGATCGTTCCTCCTTTCCCAGGATCGTAAGCTGTTTCGAGCAGTGTGTTTGGCCACTCAATCGGCTCACCCAAAGTTCACCAGGGGAGAGATCTGTTCCCAATATTTTATATATATCGTGCAGGATCAAGCCCGCACATGTTCATAGAACTCTCAGAACCCTTTTGAGTTTTTTGTCGACTGGTAATGATGGAGGGTGGAAGTATTGTACGAGTCGGTAGTGCACGTTTAGATAGTTTTTCACGGTGTTATCGAGAGGAAGATGCTGAAGAAGCACTGAAATGGGCTGCTCTTGAGAGATTGCCAACCTATCTTCGAATAAGGAGAGGTATACTGGCTGGAGAAGAGGGCCAAGGCCAACCAAGAGAGATTGATATAAAGAGTCTTGGACTAATAGATAGAAAGAATCTGTTGGAGAGGCTTGTGAAAAATCCAGAGGAAGATAATGAGAAGTTCTTGTTAAAGCTCAAGGAACGCATTGATCGGTAATTCTCAACAGAAACATTGAAACTTTGCATCGTCTTTACCTGGTTTTTTTGAAACATTCGTTGGTGATATGTTTGTGTTGTTGTTCTTATACAGAGTTGGAATTTCTCTTCCCACTATTGAAGTTCGGTTTGAGCATTTAAATGTGGATGCAGAAGCTTATGTTGGCAGTAGAGCACTGCCCACTCTATTCAACTTTTTTATCAATTTATATGAGGTAGGGTAAGGGTAGCTCATCTATCAGACCCTGCAGACATGCATTTTCGTAAGTGTCTCTCATATCTTTGCCCGCCAACTAATCTCTCTCTCCCTCTCTCAAGGGACTCTTGAATTATCTTCATATTCTTCCAAGTAGAAAGAAACCCTTTCCAGTCCTTCGTGATGTAAGTGGAATGATCAAGCCTGGCAGGTGAGAATACGATACTTCTACTTGTCCATTATTGTTGGGCATATATTTCCGGAAAGTTATTGTTGGGTGTATTTCTCCAACGTGGCAAAATCACTTATTGAAAACTTTAATTTGTATATGTACCAAAAAAGAAAAGAAAAGAAAGCTTTGATTTGTATAACGTAATTTAGAATAAAACATTAACAATAAAAAATAAAACAGTAACACATATAGAACAATAAATAAAACTAACCCATTTGTAGAATATATAAGAACTGTGATTGAATTTTATATAGGTTAAGACTACAATTTGACATTGTGTCCTTAAGATAGATTTTACCTATACTTATGAAAATCTATGCGATTATCTCACATGATATAATGATTTTTACGCAATTAAAAGTAACATTTCAATTCAATTGTCCAGTGAATCAAAATCGTGCTGTGCACCCTCAGATATGCAGACTAGTAATACAAAAATTATGAATGTAATGACTACCTTAATTCATAATAAAGTTAATTCTAAATGCTAAATATTTGGACAGCCCATCACGTAAACAGATGCAACCCAGAAGACATAACGTAGTCCAAAAGACACTATTAATGTTTGTCTACTGATAGACACGAATTCAAAAATTCATACTGGGGGAAAACCAAAAATTTAAACCAGTGTGAATTTTGAATTTCAATGAACATAAGTTAAAATCAGCTTAAGAAATTTGGACTCAATTTATTAAACAAATTTTCTTATAAGGTTGGATCTTAAATCACATCCTAACCGATCTCTTATTTTTATATTTTAAGAGAGTCACTTTTGAGTCTATTTTCTCATTCACCTCTTATTCAATTTGAGCAAATGAATATATTACGTTATTTTCTTCACAGAGTAGAACACAAACTCATGAAATTTTACTCGAAATGATGAACAGATTCTATTTTAATTTAGACTCAAAGCCGGCAAAAAAAATCAGTTTTTACAACTAAAAAATCAGCTTTAGTCCAACAATTTTATATATATATATATATATATATATTGCATTTATCGTCCAACAATTATAAACCTATTAAACAACCCTTTCTATGGTTCCCAGCCTTAAAAGAATCACGTTTGTCATTTCATTGCTCCTGCTTTTTTGCAGAATGGTATTGCTATTAGGACCACCAAGCTCCGGAAAAACAACGTTGTTGCTAGCCTTGGCTGGACGACTTGGTTCAGATCTTAAAGTAAGGAAATCGTAAATCATAAAATAATCAACTATTTTTGTCTGGCTAATTGTTTCCACCTTACGGTTTGGCATGTGTACTTACTTGAACTACTAAAGGTTTCAGGGAGAGTAACCTATAATGGGCATGGAATGGATGAGTTTGTTCCACAAAGGACATCTGCTTATGTAAGTCAGGATGATCTTCATATAGGTGAAATGACAGTGAGAGAAAAATTGGCTTTTTCAGCAAGATGTCAAGGAGTTGGACCGCGTTATGGTCAGTAAGAATATTATACATATTCTCTAACAGCTTAAGCCGCCGCGTCTCTTAGAAATTTAGTACTGATTCTGAATTTCGAAAATTTTGAAGAAATGTTGGCTGAATTAGCAAGGGAAGAGAAGAAAGCAAACATTAAGCCAGACCCTGATCTTGATATTTTCATGAAGGTAAGGAAGTAGCTGAGCATCGATCCAATTCGTAAGCATATATGCTTGCATTTATTCTTGAATGTAATGATGCACTCCTTTTCTTCATCCGGTTGAGGTAAAATTCTTCAAAACACATTTTTTTTTTGGTGACAGTGAATCCTATCACCGCAAAAAACTTGTCTCGAAAGACATTCATTCGTTCAGTGAATCTGTGAAAAAGCTTCAATTTGTTTTTAACTGTACAAGCTGCATCACTAGAAGGGCAGGAAGCCAGTGTGGTGACTGATTATATTCTCAAGGTACCCATTAAACTTAGTCTAACGTAGTCGAATTCTACAGATGTAAGATATGTAAATAACTTTTGTTTGTGTTTAAACCATATTTTGTAGATTTTGGGGCTTGAAGTCTGCGCTGATACCCTTGTGGGGGATGAAATGCTCAGAGGTATTTCTGGAGGGGAACGAAAGCGACTCACAACAGGTAAAAGCACAAAACTGCTCATAGGAAAGAAAAAAAAAAAAACCACGCAACCCCATCGGATTATTTCTTTATATATGTATCTAAAAAATCTCTTGAAAAGTGTTACTTAATCGCTTAAATATCTTAATATTTAAAATATTGCACACAAATTTTTTTAAATTTGTACACGTGTAACAATTAAGACCCCTGATGTCAATGTTTATTAGTATATCTATTAGTAAGTTACGCTAAGACCTCTGAAGTTTATAGACGTGTAATTAGGGGTGTCAAACGTGTCGGGTTAAACGGTTACGTGTTGGGTTAAACGGGTGACGGGTGAAAAATATGTAAATCCGTATACGACATGTTTAATAAACAGGTAAAAAATCAAAATACGAACATGAATCGTTTAATAAACGGGTAATCCGACACGACTCGTTTAACACGTTTAATTTTTAATGAGTTGGGTTGGATTGAGTCGAGTTAACACGATAAACCACTCGTTTGACCCATTTACCTTCCGTTTAACCCATTTACCTGTGTACCACCCATTTGACTCATTTAACACGGTAAGCCATCCATTTAACCATTTACCTGTTTATTTAAAAATGCTTTATAACATCATAAAACTAACAAATTAGCACAAATAAATGTGATATTTAGAGATATCATACCACACCATATTATAAAGTACAAACTACAATCCAAAATATCCACATTCCACCAACAACCATATTACAAATCATAAATATAATCTGAAATAACAATCATATTACAAACCACAATTTCAAACAAACACAAATTCCATGATTCACAAAATCCCATGAAAGATTTCAAATCTCCACCTCTATGACAATGAGCAGATTCAACAACCAAATTCTCATGCCCTACACAAATTAAAATGAAATATTATAAAACATTAATAATTAAATAAACTCATAACTAAATAAGTACAAAAAATTTGGCATTACCTCTCTTTAGTCATGATCAATGATAGATATAGAATTAGAACATTGAGCGAATATAACTTTATTAAGCGTCATATTTTGATTGAAAACATCATCATCTATTTTCTCTTCCGAATCATCATTAGAATCATCTACAACTAAGCAAAACAAAACATAAATAAATCAATAATCACATGAATTAGTATAATGAGAAAAATAATATTAGTAAAATAGAATTAAACTCAATGCTCTTCCCATGAATCCAATCTCTAGTACAAATCAAAGATTGGACAGTTTCTGGCAAAAGTGAACTTCGATACTTATTCAAAATTTTACCACCGATACTAAATGCAGATTCAGATGCAATTGTAGAAATATGAATTGTCATCACATCATAAGTCAACCGAGACAATATAGGATGCCGAAACTGCTCTCATTTTCAAAAGGTTAGAATATTCAAGTCCTTCTTTCGATCAAGCCTTTTTTCATTAAAATACAACTGTAACTCAGTCGTTCGAGAAACAAGAGAATCTTCTTTTCACGTTTTTCAAAATCCTACATTTTATACCAAATAATTACGAATATACAATAAACTACCTTGATCACAATCAATTCAAACAAACTAAATTATATTTCGCTTGAAAAAGACTTTCAGAATTATCAAGACCATGAGTCTCGCTAACGTGTTTCTCATTACATGAAGTAATTGGAACAACATGTGACAAGTTGACAGAGTACAATTCAAAGATCTCAAATAAAGTATCCTAAACACACTTGAACTCATAGGAATCACCATCATAAAGTTTTGAATAAGCCCAATCTACAAACTGAATTTTGTACCGAGGATCTAAGATGATAGCAATCGAAAGAATCACACTATACTTTGACCAATACTTGTCAAACTTGGCATACATATGACTTCCCATTATCCTCATAAAACTATAATTATCTGTCAATGCCTCCTTCAAAGTATGTTGAATTAGGAACACTTGGGGGAAGTACAAATTAGCTGTGGGATATGTTGTACCAGAGAATAAGCAAGTTACTTTATGAAACACCCTCAACAAATTAGAAATCTTCTCTACTTTGCTCCATTCTTCTTGGGAAGGACAATGTCTATAATTAGAATCACTTAACTGTAAATGAATAAATGCACGACGATAAAAAAGTACACTATCAAGCATAATATAAGTTGAGTTCCACCTTGTTGGAACATCTCCTCGCAAATCTTTTTTACTCTCTAATGAAACTTGAGCAACACAATCCATGAACTTCTTTTTCCTTCCCGATGAATCTTTAACATATTTGATACTTTCTCGAATTTTTATCATTGATTCATCAATTTCTTTAAGTCCATCTTGGACTATCAAATTAAGAATATGTGCACAACACCGAACATGGAAGAACTCTCCATCCCTCAAAAGAGCATTTTTAAGATTAAGTTGACTCTTCAACAACTCAACAAAACAATAATTACTAGAAGCATTATTCAATATCAAAGAAAATAATTTCTTTTCAATTCCCCAATCAGTCAAAAATGTATAAATTTTCTCAGACAAGGCAATACCAGTATGAGGAGGGGCCATGAGACAAAAGTTTAAAAAAAAATTCTGCAACTTCCAATCAAGATCAACATAATGGGCTGTGAGAGAAACATATCCATCAGTCGATATAGAAGTCCACAAATCAGAGGTCAAACAAATTCTTCCACGAAGGGAACCCAACACAATTTTAAGTTTATCCTTCTCTCTCTTATATATTTTTAACACATCTGACTTTGCAGTATTTCTAGAAGGCATCTTGATATTCTCATATGCATACTTGAACATTGCTCTAATACCCTAATATTGGACAAATCGAAATGGTAAATCATGCTTAAGTATTGCCTCAATCGCTAACTCATGAAACTTTTCAGGATCAAATTTTGTGGATCGCATTAGCATAAATCCTTAACCTTGACTTAGAAGTAATTGTCCAATATCCCTTGTGTCTTTTTTCACACATTTTTCATATGAATATGCATGTTATCAATTCCATGACTAGAATCATATATATATTTGATCCCACAAATATTACATGCAGCCCGCTTCTTGCCATCTGGATATTTTTCATTTAATTCTGTAAAGTATTTCTATACTATCGAAGTCTTTTGTCGCTTACGATTAGATTTACTTTTTTTCTGTAGTTGTACCAGTTGATGTCTGTGTTAGTGGAGCTGCAACTACATTAGATTCATGTTCGACCTGATCTTCTTCATCAGAAATTATAATATTGTGTTCGGAAGAATCCATCTGTTTAAGACAAAAAAATTATGAAGTGATGTTAGTGTAATATTAAAAATAAAAATGAAGGGATTTTATTGCTTGTCATTCCCACTTTGTTCATCAATCTTCTCGTTCGTCCCTCCATGTCAATCAAATCCATATTAGAGAGAAATCCACTTTTTATCTCTTATGTTAATCTTTGGTTGCAGTGGAATGACAAGAAAGGATATAATGACAAGCAAGAATCTATGCCAGTTCTAGTCTTCTAGAGATGACATCAAACTCGATGTCATTTGGTATTATACTAGACAGTTTAGGTCAATAATTCAAGTACAACAAAAACATTAGGTGTTTAATGCAACCAGTATGAAACAGGGAGACATTGACCTCAAATACCTTTGATAAAAACATATTACCAAGCTTGATTAAATGAATGAAGTGTTTTCATCCCTCATCTTATAATTGTGTTGGTTGCTCTAGATTTTCTAGATATAAAAAATAATGTCGACAATGGTTCTGTATTAGACTTTTTTTTTACTGCAGCTTTTATAATAAATGCTCCAACAATAACTAATCCATCTCAAATAAAATTATATATTTCTAAAATTCAAATTAATAATAACAAATCAAATATTTATACAAGACTTTTGATTATTTATAAATTTTTTTTATTATTCTCAGTTCTTTGACTATCTCAATATTGATCATTTTCTCTTAAAAAATGAATGTAACAAAAAAAATATACAATATGATAGAACAATATATATTTTCTTGCCAACACACTCATGTAAAAACTACAAAAAAATAATCCATGTAAATATTACCATTCAACAAACAGTATATATTAATCCATGTAAATATACAAAAAAATATATCAACAACAGTAAATATACAAAATAATATACAATATAATAATCCATGTAAAAACTATCATTCAACAACAGTATGCCAACACACCCACTTCCTCTAGCTTCTCCAAGCTCTGTCCCCTTTTCCCACTTACCCTCTCTCTTTTTCCCCTCCTACATCTAGTTCCTCCATTATATAAAGTTAAGAAAGCTCCATCAACCATCACTTTACGCGTTTTGATGTACACAACCAACAAGGTAGGGCCATCTTATACATTTCTCTCTCTCAAAAGATCCAACGCACACTAACTGAGCTACTTCAATTCTTTTATTTCAGTAAACCTATAATCTCTCAACAAATGAAATCAAGTTTACACCCAAAAAATAACAGAATATTTACGGATCTAACTCAAAATAACAAAGAATATTTACAGATCTAACAAATAACAAAGAATATTCACAAATTTGCTCAAAGTCTTACTCGATCTCGCAGCTCGCTCGATCTAACACAGATCTGCTCGAACTCGAAGTCTCGGTCGATCTCGTAGGTCGCTCGATCTCGCAGCTTGCAGGTCGATGCTTCTGTTCGCAGCTCGCTGTGAGAGAGAGAGAGAGAATGGAGAAGAATAGCATAAATGGAGGGCAGGTACCAGGAGGCGCAAAGCTTCAGCCTGAATAGAATAAGAAATTAGATTAGGTTTAGCCGTTTAGGACAAAATAAGTTTATATATTTTTTTTGTGGCTACTAGCTAGCTATCATTTTAAAAAAAAAACATGTTTAATTTTTTAAAAATAATTATTATATTAATTTTATTTAAACGGGTTGACATGTATCACCCAAACACGATCCGTTTATTAAACGTGTTAAACGGGTTGACCCGTTTAACACGTTTACCCGTTAAGGTCTCACCCAAACCCATTTAATCCGTGTCGATCAATCGTGTCGTGTTAAATTTTGACAGGCCTACGTGTAATATTTAGATCTTTCAAGTTTATAGGCACGTATCACTTAATCTCTTGCCATTTAATCCAAGATGCTCTAGATATGCCACTGCTACGTTCTAAATACAAATCATATCTTTGAGTCCCCTTTGGTCTCCAACTTTCTTTTTCCAGGTGATTGAAATCCAACAAATTGATGTGGAGATCATCCAAATTTTGGCACTAGCAACATTAATTACGATTTTTAAAGAAAAAATTAGGTTTTATTTTTGATTTTATTTCAATAAATGACATAATAAAACATGAATTTTGATTTTAAAATTTAATATATTTGATATTCTATTTTTAATTAGAATATTTTTGTCTTAAGTGTAATATTTTAAACTTCTGAGATCTAAGTATTATATATTTTAAATTTTAGAGGTATGAATGTAATTTACTAACGGATACTAATGACTAGGGTCTATGTGTTAAGCTCACAAATTTCAGGGGTCTTTATATAATATTTTAAATATCCGGAGTTTATATGATTAAGTGACAAATTTCAAGAGGTCTGAATATAAAATTTTCAAATTTTTTTCCGGAATTTTACTTTTGATTAGTGTCAATCTCGTAATCTCGAAGCATTTAGAGTATTGAACACTGACCTTGTCACTATGAACTTGAGTTCATTCCTCTGATTTGTTTTATGAAATATGATTATAGGGGAGATGCTGGTTGGACCAGCAACAACACTTTTCATGGATGACATATCAACTGGTTTGGACAGCTCAACAACTTTCCATATTGTTAATTCAATGAAGCAATCCATCCACATTCTTCAAGCAACTGCTTTAGTTTCGCTACTCCAGCCTGCACCAGAAACTTATGACCTATTCGACGACATAATTCTTCTGTCTGATGGCCAAATCGTGTATCAAGGTCCCCGTGAAAACGTGCTAGAATTCTTTGAGTGCATGGGCTTCAAATGTCCTGAGAGGAAAGGAGTTGCAGACTTCTTGCAAGAAGTAATTCAAGCTTCCAGATGCATTTTTCTTCTCTTGTTGGGCATTTTTCTTCTATTTAAGCTAGTTCCAAACTGGCCTATCGTAACATATGACCCGATGCGGGGATTAATTATTGACATTTTTTTGATTGCGAAACGTAGGTGATATCAAGGAAAGATCAAGAGCAGTATTGGGCGTGTAAAGACAAACCTTATAGCTTTGTTAGTGTTGGAGAATTTGCAGAAGCATTCCAGTCATTTCATGTTGGCCAGAAACTAGGTGATGAGCTTGCTGTTCCATTTGACAAAGCCAAGAGCCACTCTTCTGCTCTAACCACTAACAAGTATGGTGTTAGCAAGAAAGAAATATTGAAGGCCTGTATATCTAGAGAATACTTGCTTATGAAGAGGAATTCATTCATCTACATATTCCAGATAACTCAAGTAAGTTGCATCTAAAAGCCTTATGAGTCCTTATTTTGTGCTATCTAAAAGAATTGAAATTTTGAGTTGCAAAGACGATTTATAAACTCAGATTTGAACTTGGACACCCTTAACCGTTTAATCCAAAAAAAAAAAAATTTGAGTTGCCTAAACATTTAAAATTGCTAAATGGTTGTATTTCATACTATACTTTCAGCTTTTGCTTATGGCTTTCATAACAATGACTATCTTCCTACGAAGTGAGATGCCCCGGAATACAATAACAGATGGTGGGATTTTCATGGGTGCGATGTTTTTCGGGGTAATCACAATTTTGTTTACTGGATACTCAGAGCTTGGGATGAGCATTATGAAACTTCCTGTGTTTTACAAGCAAAGAGACCTTCTCTTCTTTCCCCTTTGGGCATATTCTCTACCCACATGTATCCTCAAGACCCCAGTCGCACTTGTTGAAGCTGCCATTTGGGTGTGTGTGACTTACTATGTCATAGGATTCGATCCAGATGTTGGAAGGTAGTAATTAATCATAGAATATGTTTATAATGGTTCACAATTTTTTCCATTCGATATCTGATAAATGTTCATTACGTCAGGTTTTTCAGACAACTCCTTCTACTCATATGCATTACTCAGATGGCCTATGCACTATTCCGTTTGATGGGGGCATTGGGAAGGAACATCATAGTCGCAAACACATTTGGTTCATTTGCAATACTTACAGTTATTGTGATGGGTGGATTTGTGTTGTCGCGAGGTAAAAACTATAAGACTATAGCATAAAGGCGTGTATTTATATATATATATATATAGGCTTCTTGGTGATTTTATTTGTGTAAGAACTGCTCTCTGTTCCCTCAGCTGACATAAAGAAATGGTGCATATGGGGTTATTGGTTCTCACCCATGATGTATGGGCAAAATGCAATAGCTGTTAATGAGTTCCTTGGTAAAAGCTGGAGACATGTAAGAATCATTTTCTTGATGTTGGAGTTTCACCATCCTCAAAGTAACTGAAATTCTATGGAAACGTTGTTTGTTTATGTAGGTTCCTCCTAATTCCACAGAACCTTTGGGAGTATCTGTCTTGAAGTCTCGCGCAATTTTTCCTGAAGCGCGGTGGTATTGGATTGGAGTAGGAGCTTTGATTGGATACGTATTTCTATTCAATTTCCTCTTCACTTTAGCTCTAACTTATCTCAATCGTAAGTTTCCAATTCATTCATTTTCAAAAATTATAGCCTATAGAGTTCAGCTTAGTCCACTTGGAATAAACGTAAGTGAAAAGGGATACTCAAATTAAGAGTAGAGCCCCGTATATATATCCAAAAATAATACAGAGTGACTTAAACATCCTTGTAGTTTAGGCAAATATAAAAATCTTAGTAAGGGTAAAAAAAGGAAAAGAAATCCTAATAAACCTAGACTATCTAAACTCCAACACTCCCCCTCAAGCTAGGCGCAAAAATGTCAACTAAGTCAAGCTTGACAACAGAGTCCCGAAGAATAGACAGAGTGACAGGTTTGGTAAAAACATCCGCAACTTGATCACTGGTCCCCACAAACGATGGAGTAACAAGACCACTGCTGACCTTCTCCCGAAGAAAGTGAACATCGATCTCTATATGCTTCGTTCTCTCATGTAGTACAGAGTCAGAAGTGAGCTGAATAGCAGATTGATTATCACAATATAATGTGGATGGAGAGGTCACTGAAAAACCCAACTCGTCAAGAATCGATCGTAGCCAGATAATCTCACATGTGCCAAGTGTCAATGCCCGATACTCTGCCTCTGCGGACGAGCGGGAGACAACTGCCTGCTTCTTGCTCTTCCAAGAGATAAGATGAGTCCCTCGAAAAGCACAGAAACCCGTAGTAGATCGACCATCACATGCTCCCCCATAATCTGAATCTGAATAACAGGCTAGAGAACCGGTCTGAGATCCTGATGCATAAAACAACTCAAGTCCAGGACAAGACTTGAGGTACCGAAGAATATGATAAACTGCATCAAGATGAGGCTGACATGGCCTATGCATGAACTGACTAACTCGGCTGACTGCGAATGAAATGTCCGGCCTAGTATTGGCTAAGTAGATAAGTCTACCTACCAATCTTTGATAAACTGTCGGATCTTTCAACTCCTCACATTCAGCAGTAAGCTTCAGGTTTGGAATCATAGGTGATAATGTCGGTTTGCACCCCAACATCCCAGTGTCTGAAAGAAGATCCAAAATATACTTTCTCTGAAAAAGAACAATACCTCTGCTTCTACGGGCAACCTCAATCCCAAGAAAGTATCGCAGAAATCTAAGATCCTTCACATCGAAGGCCTTCCCAAGGTCTATCTTGACCTGCGCAGTCCCAGAAACATCATCACTAGTAATAATAATATCATCAACATATACCAGAAGGATGACACACTGTCCAGAAGTATTCCTTCGAACAAAGCAGGTATGATCAGAATGACACCTGGTGAACCCCAATCGTATGACTACATCACTGAAGCGAGAGAACCAGGCTCGTGGCGACTGTTTCAGTCCATAAAGAGACTTACGCAGTCGACATACCTTTCCAGCATACTCCCCCTCACCACGAAAGCCCGGTGGTGCATCCATATAAATAATCTCGTCCAGATCACCGTGAAGAAACGCATTCTTCACATCTAATTGATGAAGAGGCCAAGAGTACTCCGCAGCCAGAGAAATAATTAACCGAACAATAGTCAATTTTGCCACGGGGGCAAATGTAGCACCAAAATCACGACCTGGTACCTGAGTAAAGCCTTTCGCCACAAGTCTAGCCTTGTAACGATCAATAGTACCATCTGTCAGAAACTTCAGAGTGTAAACCCAGCGACAGCCAACAGGCTTCACCCCTGAAGGTAAGGAGACAAGATCCCATGTATGATTACGCTGAAGAGCGTCCATCTCTGTCTGCATGGCAAGAACCCACTAGGGCTCCCGCATAGCTTCTGAAATAGAGCGAGGAACCAGCGTATCTGATAAGGCCATAGTATAAGCTCGAAATGTGGGAGACAGATTACCATAAGAAACATAAGCAGAGATCGGATATAAAATCTTGGCGGTCCAACCATATCGATCAACTGGACGGCGATCTAACGACGCCCTAAATCACCATCCTCTACTGATAATATCTTATCAGGTAAAGTAACTGGCTCAGCACCTGTAATCTCATCAGTACTAACAACATGTGCATCAATATGCTCAACAAACTGAGAAGTATTACCTGCATCGCCTGAAGTAGAGGGGATATCAGCAGGGTGATGAGAGCGAGGACAACGAGCATACACCTGCAAAGGAAGAGAGACTGGTAACTCTGTACTGACAGGGATGAGTGACTCCTTTGGAGGAAAAACGGATGACCCTGTAGGGATAGTGATCAATGACTCTGACTCTTGTGGTAATGGAAAATCAAAGGGAGTATCATCAACTGGAGGGGCAGACAAAGGACTGAAAGGAAAATAAGGAATATGCTCAAGAAAGGTAACATCTAGACTGTGATACATACGACGCCTAATAGGATCATAACATCGATACCCCTTAGATTGATGACAATAGCCCACAAAGATACAACGAATCGCTTTATCATCAAGTTTATGACGAGTAGGAGACCGATCCTGAACAAAACATGTGCATCCAAAAACACGAGGGGGGACTGGAAAAAGTGTCCGCTCAGGAAATAAGACCTGTAAGGGAGCCTTATGCTGAAGAACACGACTCGGCGTACGATTGCACAGAAAGGTAGAAGTCAAAACAGCAAAATGCCAATAAGATTTTGGTACCCTCATGCCTCTAAGCAGACAACGTACCATCCCTATCAAACTCCTATTTTTCCTCTCAACAACACCATTTTGCTCAGGAGTATATGGACAAGTGAGTTGCTGAAGGATACCCTGAGAAGAAAGGTGAGACACTAAAGCATCAGACACATATTCTTTGGCATTATCCGAACGAAGAGCACGAACAATGACATCGAATTGTGTCTTAATTATCTGTAAAAACTGAGTGATTATAGGGAGCACATCAGACTTCCTATGCAAAAGGTAGACCCAAGTACAACGGGTATGATCATCTATAAATGTCACATAATATCTGGCACCTGACAGAGCAGTAACGGGAGAGGGTCCCCAAATATCAGAGTGTATTAGGTCAAATGGCTTGGGTGACTGGTGCATGCGAGGAATATAATTGGCCCTAACATGTTTTGATAGGGAACAGATAACGCAATCAAGTTTACCACCAACACAAGCATTACTCAAAGCAGGAAACAACATACATAAATATTTAAAATTTGTATGTCCAAAACGGTCATGCCACAATTGAACAGTTTGTGACGAAAAATCATAACGACAACTACTAGGTAAAATACTAGCATGCAAGCTAGGAACAGAAAAAGACAAAGCAGGTGCAGGTGAAGGAATTGGTGAAACTGGAGATGGATTGCCAAGATAATACAGTCCATCTTTCTCATGTCCCTTGATAATAATCCTCCTGGTACTCAGGTCCTGCAAATAACACGAATCAGATAAGAATACAACCGCACAGTGAAAATCTCTGGCTAACTGATGTACAGATAATAGATTCATGGCCAACTTTGGCGCATGAAAAACCGAATGTAATGTAAGGCCATCTGGGAGACGGACTGTACCCCTACTAACAATAGGGGCATGTGTTTCATCTGCTAACTGAACCTGTGTATGTAACGGCTCGTCAAAAGTGGTGAAGTGATGGGCCTCACCTGTCATGTGACCATTCGCACCCGAGTCCAACATCCAAAGGGGAGATGAACTGGCACAAGCGTGAAAGGCACGAGATATACCTGTAGTGGTGACAGCAGCAGTAGTCAGACTCTGAGAAGTCAGAGCAGACATAAGTATATCTAATCGGGAAGTGATAGCATCCATATCACTTTGCCAAGGAGGAGCAGTAGCAGGAGTGGCGGTAGTGGGCGGTGGTACCTCAGCAATAGCAACAGTACGGCTGCGAGAAGGTGGCTTAAGCTCTGGATGGAGCTTCCAGCAAGTAGCCCTGAGATGTCCTGGTCGGCCACAATAATCACATTGATGGGAATCCCCCCGTCTGCGCTGATCTGGGGCGCCCTGACGGCGCTGGTCTGAGCGTTGCCCATCCCTGACTAAGGATCCTGAACGGGACCCTACAGCAGCTGCAAGGGCCATCTGGTCAATCGAAGGAGTCAAAGCTGCAACTGGAAGTGATGCAATACGGACTCGACGCTCATGCTGCTCAATCATCCCATACACCTCATAAAGAGAAGGAAGTGTCAACATCGACAAGATCTGAGAACGAGGTCCCTCAAACTCATCACGAAGCCCCATAAGGAACTTGTAAATCCTATCCTCCTGCTCTCGAGTATGCAAGAATGCTGCTCCCTCGGGCTCTATCTTCGGAATAGCAGCAAGAGGACGTAGAGACTCATACTCAAGCCAGCGCTGGGTCAAATAGCCATAATAATCCTGAACGGTCATATCTCCCTGCCGAGCATATGAGAGCTCCTGAGAAAGCTCATAAACACGAACTCCCCTTCCTGACTGAGAATACATCTCTGATAATGCGCTCTATAGCTTCGGAACAGAGCTATGAAACTGGTGGATCCTGCAAACAGAAGGCTCCATTGAGCCAAATAACCATCCAAGAATGGCACAGTTTTCAGAGAACCACGCAGAATATCCAGGGTCGGCATCAGCTGGCTTTGGGTGAGATCCAGTCAGCCAACCAAGCTTCCCTACACGGCCTAAGAAAAGCTGGAATGAGCGTGACCACTCAGCGAAGTTACGACCATTCAACAATTGTGCCGTAACTTTTTGAGAGATCATGCGGTAATGCTGGTAATGGCAACT